TGACATTTCTCTTTCTATAACATGAAGGGCTAATTTTTAACACACTAAATTTAAAAAGTACAGTATTTTAACAAATCATTGTGCCAGCTGTGTGAGTAAACACTGACTGAATGAACAGAGAAATGTGGATTTCTCTCACATTATTAAACTTGGACATATTTATAAAACATAACAAAACAGGAATATGTTAAGTTGCTAGTTGGAAAAAAATGAAAGAATAAAATAAGTAAAACACTTAATCCACCCTGTAGATGAAAAACTATAATTTAAACACAGGGTAATATTTTAAGATAAAGATTAACTCAAAAACAAACTAGGAACATAATAAAATATCCCTGAAAGACGTGAGACATAAATGAGTACTGGGAATTGTTTGTTTATATTCCCTCTGCTTCTATCTTAGCTGGGCTGCACGGCATGACGTGACGTCAGTTACTGTTTATTAGATTGGTTTACTGGCCGGGTTATGTCACACAGATTAGATTAGCATTAAGTTAAATATTTGTAGCGACTGTAACTTTTTTTTGTTGTTGTTTCATATGGAGTTAAACTCAACAGGAGAAAGCTAACGTTAGCTACAGTTAGCTTACTGTTCTCTGTCATCCTGCTCTCTTGTCTTTGGCATCATACTGTTTGATGGTCTGGTACAGCCTTCTGTACTTTTCCTTCAAGTTTGGTGTAGTCCATTATTGTTGTGTCGCAAATAAAATTAAATAAGACTCGCGCGTTTGAGGTCCCGCCCACATCGAGACGGCTTCCTGCTCAGTTTAATAGGGCCGGAGTAGAGTAGCAGCGTCCTCTGCTGAATGAAGGCAAAACTACACTGAAATAAGGTTTAAACAGATGTTTTCAATTAATCGAATGGAAGAAATTTTAATCTAATAAACCATTWTTCGACAATTAATCAATTAATCGAATCGATTAATTGTTTAAGTMAAATTAAAGTGTCCCATTCAGGATGCTCTTTCTCCCGACTACAGTCGGCCGTCACATTATGGAASACAGAAAGGTATTTGTCTAGTGCCCAGAGCTAAGGTGGTCCCCGAGGGTCGGTACTGAAGTGGCCAAAGGCAACGACCAGATGTAACACAGTGCATTAAAATAATTGGCGTACTTGTGTTCCCCCGTTAAGATTCCCTGTGACAGCCAACATTCTAATGGCACATTTAGTCTAACGATTGAAARCATGTATGAAATAAGAAATATGAAACAAATAAAATTTATATAGAACATTGTTTTATATATAATTTTTGGACAAAAAATGGTGATATATCGCCTTGCTTACAGTATCGCAATATATTGTGATACATTGTATCGCAATCCCTGTGTCATGATATGTACCGTATCACTAAATTCTTGCCAATTCACAGCCTTAATAATGACCATCTTAACACAAGCATAATTAGTTTCTCATCCAAGCATTTCTTAGCTATTATGACCAATATTAGCAGGATTCATCAATAAGAAATAACATACAGTAAGATTTTGTTTTTGTTCACTTCAGGCCCAATTCTATAATAATAATTTAAAAAATAAAACTGATTCCATCCACTCAAACCTCCATCTTCCTTCAGTTCCCCAGCTGACTATGACCCTTGACTGTGGTGACTCCCCAACTCTGACCTCTGACTTTCTGACAGCTCAAACGACATTACTCATTCTCACGCAGAAATACCACTGAGATATCCATTTTCAATCTGTGGGGACAAAATTCTTTGTTTTACGAGTCAACAAGGGACGGAGGGAGACAAAACCTCCATGAGTCACAGACAACTACAGTGCTTTCAGTGAAGACGTGCCTGTTGAATCTGATGCGTCAAAGAAATGCCAGGATGTTACATCAAACATGCTGTAACCCTGGGGGATACAGAGTGCCAAATGGACATGGTTACCCACTAAACATTTGTACTTTTTGGTCCCAATGCCTTCATTTAACACTCAACGGTTTCTGTTACTGATGGCCTTCTACATCTAAAAAATCTCTTTTGGCCATTTTACACACGTCGGCTGGTCACTAGGATCAGAGGGGGTGCCGAAACAAAACCCTGTTGTGCATCTGTCAGCCAGTCCCCACAGCTCTGCCCTTCCAGTATTATCTGAGTGTTCAAAGACAGGAGGTGGAGATCAGCTTTAACAGGGGAAAAGTACCAGAGGAACAGCCTCGAGCTTTAGGTAACCCCCAGGATAGAAGGACAGATGAGGAACAAAAAAGAAATGGCACTGAGGGTGTCACCCGGGAGCAGTGAAGCATTCAGTCCCTAAGAAGCACTGACCACAGATCAGACTCAGAGATCTGAGCTTTGATCTCAGTCTTTTATCCTTGGAAAAAGTTACACCTGCATCGTCAAGTCTTTTCTTGTTCTCTGTCATCAACAAAATGCCTTCGGAACGCTAAACAGACACAATGCAAGTCTACGTACTTGTTCATAATGTAGGAAAARCAGCATTTATCTTTGGAACAGGTCATTTTACACACGACTACAATCGCTGTCACAATGGCTGAGTGGTATAWTTGTGAATTAAAGGCAGTTTTAAATGACAACCCTTTGGTAAGGGGGGATTCCAAAACACACAAACAGCTTTGAAATAAGCACAAATCCTCTGAAGTGATACTTTGGCAAATGAGATGGGTCCCCCCCCCCGTAACAATTTACAGAAATGTCTGTGATCTTCATACCTGCATGGCGAGGCAGATACATTATCAGTGCTTTGACATTCCAATGATTTTGCGCAGGACTTTGACATCTTTAGATCTATCCAATCCTCCCCTTGTTGGGACCAGAGCAGCACAAAGAGGGGCCCACAGGTTTTTTCTGCTCACATTAAATGCAATTTGGGTGAAATTACAGTTTAAAATCTTGAGGAATTTTGTATTTCAGGAATAAAGTCAACCTAATTTAGCTAACGTTAAAAAAACAAAAAAACAAGCTATCATGTTTCGCACGCTTGTTTTATACAAAAGAGTCTGAGCAGATGAGTGGAAAAAAACACCTCCCAACAACTATTATTTAGACTTTAACTTATGCACGGCCTGGAACATATACACACACACAAATATACACACAAGGTATATATACAAAAACACAAAGTACAT